AAAAAAAAATATCCATGAAATGTTTCAAAGGGAAAGTTCCACAAGTTAGTAGCTAACTGACCAACTCAGTGACACAGATTAGTTTCTGACTCACAGTAGCCCTACAGGACAGAACAAAACTGTCCCCTCATCTGCCTCTTGCAGAGTGGCTGGTGGGTTTGAACCGTTGACCTTGTGGTTAGCAGTACAATGCTTCATGCATAGCAGCTCCAGAATGTCTTAATTTAGTAGCTAGTTTCTCCTATTGGTCCTCCTCCCAAACACTTTTACTGCTGCCAGGATTTTTCTCCCATAGTTCTGAAATATGGATATATATGTTAGAATTTTTACATTTTGGGAAGAATGGACATAAGATTTGGAGGATGACCAGCATAGGTTCAAATCCCAATTCTACCCATTTCATCAGTGTAAGCAAGTGAGCTCACCTTTGTTTGGTGGAAACTACCTTGTAGTGTTGTTAGGACATTTAAAAATAATATGTTGGGGCTGAGTAGGGATTCCATAAAGACCAAGAATTATTGCCCTTCCATATCCCACTTAAAATATTCAACGTCTTCTTTGGCCAGTCCCCGTCATTTTGCTTTTATCCCACTGGATCTCTCTGAAGGACTCAAAGCTCGTGTTCTGACTAAGTCACACACTGTAGTCATTAATGTGCGATCTCCCGATAGCACTTCCCCCATGCTTTAATGACTTCCACCCCTGAATCACAGTGCCTGTAGTCTGAATAATTGGTTACTGCAATAGATGTGTCAGTGTGTGTCCTGCCTCCAGTGAGCTCTTTAGCACCTCCAAATGAGGTCATCAAGCTATGACCTGATTGACAGGCTAGACTCCCCCCTACACTCTTAATCCTTTCAAATTGACAGCAGATTATGTAACTACCACAACAGACTTATAAATGATTCTCCTAATTTATGTCAATTCAACTGGTAAGAAGAGCCTTGAAGCTTTGCCTTGCTGGCCCTGCCCTCCTCACTATCTTAACCACCATTACAGCCATTCCCAGACTTTGCATTGCCATTAACCACCAGCTTTCTGGATACAGTTCTGTGCACTTCTTTCTCTGAACGTATGGCTGTGATTCTACTTCACTTCCTCTAATATGCTGACGATAATAAATAATCCCTTGACCCGATGGACCCTCCAATCCATTTATCTTGTTGCCCTTCTGTACCCCTTTACTTGTGCCCATTTCTTTTCCTTCCTTAATAGCTGAGTGTCCTGCCCTGCCACAATCAATTCCTTGTGTTACCTCTTGAACTCTTGGTCTCTACCTCAATTTGCCATGCTCCTTTGGCAAAATCCAATCCTGGAGAGATTCAACTCTCTGCCTACTCAATATCTATCTCCATGAAGTTGAACGGGGCCAGAGAAGGAACAACTGGCTCCACTTTTAATTAATGATCTAGGATGTTTGTGCTGCCCGGGAGGCATCGTGTATTTCCTATGTTCTTCTAGAGCACTCTTCCGTTTCTTCTCTTTCCCCCCTCAAACATCTCAGAACTCCTCTCCCAATTTCACTCTGTGATGATCTTATTTCCTTCTTAGTAAAAAGGAAGCAACAGAATGCCATTTTCACATTTGCTCATATCTTCTCTATCGGTATCCACATATTCTTCAATGCACTATCCACTCTCTCATCTAATACCACCCATGAAACTAAATCTCCCACTGTGGTCTAGGTCTTGTCCATTCTCCTCCTTGAGGAGGTCACTCCAGCAACTCTTCATAATTTTAATTTGTACCTCTCTACTAGGTACATTTCATCGAACAACATGCCCACCCTCCCTCCACCATTTCTCACCCATTTTCTATGATCTCCTACATAGCAGAATTTCTGGAACCTGTCCATTCCTGCTGTCTCTTCTTGGTCATCTTCTCTTAACCTCACTCATCAGACTTCCATCTCCACATTGTACGGAAGAAGTGGAAACGCTTACCAATGTCACCTATGACATCCAGTCGACTAAATAGACGACCACTCATCAATCCCCAGCCTGCTTGACTTATCAACAGCACATGGGAAACTGATGACCACCCTGTCCCCATAGAAGCCCTCTTCAAAAGGCCCAGATGACCACAGTCTTTCGATATGTATATCCATTCCCTCTCAGTTCCCACAAATGGTTTCTATGCTTCTTCCCAATTTCATAACATTTGGGTGCCTGGGACTCATCTCTAATGCACCTTCTCTATTTTACTGCAAGTCCTTGAAGAATCTCATTTAATTTCAGGGTTTTACAAACTGTTTATGTGTGATTATTGAAATGCTATCTCCAGCATTTTCTTCTCTCTGAATTCTCAGCGAACATGACCAACTGTTTATCCAGTGTCTCCACTTAGAGCTCCAAACATCAGTTCCCGTCAAACCTACTCGAACTCATGACTGTCCTGTGCATTGCTTGCCAGAGTAGGACTGGGCTCCACAGGGTGTTCATGGATGACTTTTTGCAAGTAGAATGACAGGCCCTTCTCAGTAGATTCACAATTTAAATATATATTATTAATTGGGAGTTAATACATATATCATGCCATAGTTCAATCATGTGAAGCAGAATTGTACAACTGCTACCACAATCCGTTTTTAAATATTCTTTTTCTTCCTGGACTTCTTGATGTTGTCTCCCTGTTACCCCACCCCCACCACAGTACCACCCGCCCCCAAAAAAAAAACCCTTACTTGTTGTCTCTGTAGATTCATCAATTCTGGGTTTCATATAAAAAAAAACCCTAATATATATATATATATATATATAAAACAAATTTTAACATAACCAAAGTTATTCTCCTGGCCTCTCCTCAATAACTTACTCCACCCTTATTCTTCACCAACTCAGTTAATGTCAACCGCATTCTTCGTTTTGCTCAAGTCCAAGCCCTGAAGTCCTGTTTATCTCTCATAGCTCCACCTGCCATCCATTAACAATTCACTTTGATTATACCTTCAAAATGTATAGACTCACACCATTTCTTATCACCTCCTCTACTCCCTCTGTCCCAAGACCCTATCATTCCTCTTCTGGATTAAAGAAGTAACTCTGAGCTGAATTCCTTTTACACTTCAGCCTGCTCGTAGTACTGGTAGCTACTGAAAGAAGTGCGCATCTGCTAAAGGAAGTGAGACAATAGTATTCCTTTGGCTCAAAATTCTCCAGTAGCTGCCATTTCTCTGAGAGTAAAAGTGAAAATTCTAAAGGCAACACTGCATGTGCTTGACCCCTTCTACACACTCTTGCTCTTCGTCTTCACCCTGTTACAGTTGTATTGATCTCACTGCCCCTTGACCCCGTCAGGTATGTTCCCACCCCAGGACTTTGCACTGGCGGTTCCTCCTACCTGCACTGTGCTTCCAGCAGGCATCCTCATACCACACGCCCCATCCTCCCCCTTGAGTCCTCCCCTGACCTTGCCATGTAAAATTACAGCCGCCCCTCTGTCGTCATCCTCTTCACCTGTGTCATTCGTTGTTGACTCTCTCGCCTCTAGAATATAACCTTCATAAGGTCAGAATGCTTTGGACTTTGATTTGCTGATGTATCCAGCATTTGGAACAGTCCTAGCACATGGTAGAGGCTAAATAAATAGTCATCCACTAGAAAAGCCAAATTCATTATTTTTATACTGCTAAAGGCCCTCCAGGATCTGACCCAAATTTACCTACTACCCCACCACCACCACCACAGTCTGTATTATTCAGTTATTTGTTCTGTAAACCTCAGGGAAGTACTCTTTGTCACAGACCCTGGGAAACTGAATATGTGTAGGTCAAATAAGAAACAGTTTCTACTTGTGAGATCCTGGGGAAATACCACTTCCTCTTCTGTTGCGTGTTAGAGCTTCTCCCTTGGGTCTTAAATGGGTCTGAATCGCGTTCATCTTGTGACCTTTTACAGTTCTGTGTTCCTCTGTGAGTGTAAGAGCTCAGCTCAGTGAACATTGCCTCGAACACTGGGTAAATAACATCCTCTGTGACAGAATATGCGGGAGCCAAGTATCCTGCTTCACAGCCACGGGACTTAGTGATCCTTGCAGAGCCCAAGCTATGGTTCCCTACCACCTTTTCATTTTTTACATGGTAGCATCGTCATGAAACCACCATTTAACTGTTAGACTTTCTAGTATTCACATGGCATTAATTTGAGATTTTGGCAGCTATCAAAGCTCCTGGGGAGTTATGTTAGTTAAGATCTTTTAAGTGACTACCAGCTGCCATCCGGTGGATGCTAACCAGTGATACCATGTGTGTCAGAGTAGAACTGTGCTCCACAGAGTTTTCTGTGGCTGACTTTTCTTGGAAGTAGACCACCAAGCCTTAATTCTGAGTTGCTACTGATAGAAAATTAAACTTCAAGTAGCTCAGAAAGTTCAAGTTCAGAAGCTCAAATAGTATCTCCAGGGTCTGGTCTTTGACCATCTCTAAATGCTCTTTAGTGACTTTTTTACTCTATATGGAAGGAATATGACTCAGTAACTCCAAAATTTCTTCTTCCAAAGTATAAGATGAACAGGAAAAGAAATATTTCTCTTCCTCAACAATTCAGCCTCCCTGCGTTGGCCCAGCTTTGCTCACAGGTCCACTTCTGCATCTGGGATGGGCACGAAAAGATGAAAAACTATATTTGGTGATCAAAAGCAATAATAGTTCACTTCACCGATGGAATCAAGACCTCTAACTTTATTTACATTTTCAAGGTGACCCCTCACACCTGTAGACAAATGATCATTTTACTTCCTTGTGTGGTTTTTTTTTGTTTGTTTGTTTGTTTGTTTGTTTTTTTGGAGAGGGGTAGGCTCTGGCCTCTGTGAACTGCAAACGGACAGGTGTAGCCTTATGAGCATTTCTTTTAGGGCTCTAAAGGAGAACACCTGGCTTTTCTGTCTTGTGCTCCTCTGTTGCAGGTTGTTATACCGGTCTTGGCCAATGAGAAGAATCATCTGGATTGTCCCCAGGTGATATGTCAAGATGTCAGATGGCATGCCCACAGCCTCCAATGTGACCTCTTGGTTATTCTCGAGCAAGTGAAGGGGAAAACTTTTCTGCCTCTTCCAGAAGGTTCAGAAAAGATGGAATTTTGGGGCTCTGAGAGTGAGACTATGTAAGTACCACCAGCCTGGTCATTTGGGTCTCTGACGTATGGGAGATGCTGGCTTGTTTCTTATGTTTTTTCTGTTCCTGCCTCTGCACATCTCCTTGTTCTGCACACAAGCCCTCTGTCTGCTCTGTCTGACAGCATCCGCAGACTGTATGTTTTGTGCTGATTCCCACCCTCTTTTCAATCCCCTTGCCCAAAGTCTTGTCAGGTTATCACAGTAACAGTCTTCTCGTCAGATGCATTTCAGGGTTGCCAACAGCCAGGCTGAGTTCAGCATTTTGCTTATCAGAACAGTGTCTTATCCCAGGCAAAGATCCAGGTCCAGCCTAGGAGATCCATGCCTCTTCCCAGCCTTTACCAAGCACAGAATGCGACAGAACTTCTCTGGGAGCACTTGTTACAGTTCCAGAACCTCCTACCCCAGCAGCTGGGGACCTTTTTCAGGTTCTGGGAATTTTTTTAAAAATAGCAAAACTGTCTTTATTAGAGGCTGGACTCTGTGCCTCTTGCCACAAAAATCTCATCCCTGTCTCCTTTGAGAGTTAGGTCTGCCATATCTTCAGCTTCCACGTGCCATTCTGGCTTTAAATTATCTCTGTTTCTGTTCTCTGGGATTCTTTTCTTTTCCTTTCAAGCCAAGCTATGTATTTAAATGATACAGTCTGCTGTCTCTTATCATATACTCTATGTGTTCATGGGAAAAAGTAACTTTTCTGTATAATCTCAGTCTGCCATATTGCCAAGAGTTCGCCAGGACACAGCTGCCATCATCGTATATTCAGGGTCTATGATCTGATCTGAAGAATCAGTAATGCACACGATGACAACGTACTTTATAATGAAGGCTTTTTTAAATTTATTTTTTCATATTGGAAGTAATTTGCCACCTATATAGTTTGAAGTATTTTCTAGTTAACTGGAAACAACGTTGTGGTTTAATTTTTAAAATACCTAATTTTCAAAATGAATGAGTTCAAATCACTGTTTTATGGGAGGCTTATATTTCAATTTAATAACATTCAATGTGTACATATAATCATTGCTGAGTTTGTATCCCTTTGTTCAAATTTTGTAATTTCCCCCAAAGGCTAGATCATGTTTCAGAGAAGTGGGTATCTCATCCCTTCGATACTCTTTATAATCACTTGTGCTATGCCATTGGTCAGCAAAGACGAGTTGAATTGAAATAGGTGAAGGTGGGTTTCTGGCATGAAACTTTGCATGGCATGCTTTCTTGCTTTGCCATTTGTATTCTGGGTTCCCGGCATGCACAGTTAGTTTTCAGTAAAGACTTTATGAAAAGGCAATCAAAATGTGATTTTGATTTTCAGTCCTTTGCAAAATATCTTGTTGTTGTTGGAATTGGCCCTCACATGATGGCAACTCACATGCAATGAGATTGGACCACGGTCTATATGGTTTTCACTGCGCTTTTGAAATAGGTTGCCAGGTCTCTCCCCCTAGTCTGAAAGTTCTGCTGCAAGAGCTGATGTGTAATGGAAGGTGCTTTGTTCTGAAGCACAGAGCTTGCTGTCCCTCGTAGAGTTTCAAGCAAGGGTTGATGGCCATCTGAATATTTTGTTTGAAGTGTTCCTGCATTGACAAGAAGGCTTCTTAGTGAGATCCAAAATTCTTATATTAGTCTTCAGAGTATTGTTGGTCTCTTATAGGTATAAGTGTGGTTGTCTGTATTCATAAGCAGGTTTTCAGTGGGCAAGGGAGATTTGTATTTATCACTAACTAGTCACCAATATCTCTTACCCACCAAAAGTTCAGGGTGCTTCTGATCTAAATTCAATTTCTGATCTATTTTGAAAAGATTTGGAACTCTGTTTGGGTGAGGGGGACACCGAACTCACTGCTATCAAGTTGATTCCACACCACTAACATGGCGATGAGCAACCCAACACTTAATCCACTGTACCACCCGGGCAAAGTTATTTCCACACACTCCAGGAGATGTTTTCTGTCTTTCACAGCTTGGATTCCATCGATAAGTCGGTCATCTACTCTGTTGAGTCTGCAGTGATCAAGTGGAGCCACCAAGTCCAGGTGGTTCTCAAGAGAGAGTCTTCTCAGCCGTTCTTGCAAGGGGAGCATCCCACACCTAAGGTGGAGCTGGAGTTCTGGAAGAGCAGGTAGGCACAGAGGACCATGCTGAAGTCCTGAGCAGCAGAGGGGCCACAGGATAGAGCCAGCTCCAGCCTGAGGGAGCCACTCACTGCGTCTGGTTCTCCTGGAGTTTCTCGTCAACCTCTAGCACATACAGCTCAGTGTCTTTGGGCTCAATAAAATCTGACTATGGATTGGGAATTGCATTCTTTCCTGTTGCAAGAGTAATTATTTTTTTCTTTCTGAGTCTCCCATCAGTGTGTCTTCTGACATTTCCTCAAAGGTTCTTTCAACTGCACTTAAAATGAAACAAAACAATCCCCCTGAACACTTTCTTCGAAGTGCCTACTCCCTTCCTCGTGAGCAGTTATGGACTTGGAGGAAGAGAAGTTTGGGGCAGTTGGCTGCAGAAGGGTCTCTCCTGGGACCACGTGAACCATCCACAGGTCTAGAAAGTGTCCCTACTGTGCTCAGCCTCCAGGGCTTCCTGCTTCCACGTATCCCTCTGCCCCTCCTCACCGTTCCTTTGCTACTTATCATTGTGCTGGTTGTGATTCCAACGGAGGCAGATGTTTCTGCCCTTGCATGGAGTTGAGAGCACAAGGGTCAAATGGCCTTGCATGCCAACTGGGCGGCAGCCATGTTTACACCGCCATGCTGAGATGCCCTGTTCTCTTGCCTGCTTTTCTGACCATTCCACTGACCAACTGTGGGCCTTGCTCCAACAACCCCTTGCTCACCCTGCCCCAAACCTTCCTACAAGAGCTAATGATCTCCAGCTGCCAAGGTTTTGAGCCACCATCTGTTTGTAGCAGAGTTCACTGTTGTTACCTCCTGGAGCTGCCCCTTTGAACCTGTGTTCCCAACTCCGGCTTGTGTCCTCATTGTTCTGGAAACAGATGTCAGGGCTCTTTGTTGCCTGTGAAAACACCTTGAGGCAGTACTTCATTCTGTCTGCCTGAGTGTGGGTCATTGCAGTGTGACTTGCATCTCCTCTCAGTTTACCTGCAGTCACCTTTCTCTGTGCTACTGTAGGTATGAAGATCTGGAATATATTTATAACCAACTGAGAGCAATCAGGGTGAGAGGCATGGCTGGACTCCTGGACAAACTTCAGAGCAGCTACTTCCCAGCTTTCAAGGCAATGTTCAGAGACGTTGTAGCAGGTGAGGACCACCTAGCATTTTGTTTTGGAATGAATTGCCTTCTGTTTCTGATTTCAGTAGCTTCAGTTCCTTTTACTATTTCAACCTACACAATACAGCACAGCAGCAATATTTGAGTTGGGTTGTCTGGAGAAACCACACCAGTGACACATATGTAGAGGAAGGAACTTTATATCAAGAAGTAACCTAATATCAAGAATGCATCCCAGCCCAGTCCAATTCAAGGTTCTATGCTAGCTGGAGCCCTCTTCAGACTTGCATAGCTACTGTCTGATGACCCAGAAAGGTGAAGCAGCAAGCTGGAAGATCACAGGCTGGGGATACAGATGCATGGATCCAAGGTCGGTGGAAACATGGCAGGTCACAGACAGCTCAGAGGCTGGCTCACAGTCTCAGCAGCCCACATGGGCCATCCCTGGAGGCAGACCCAGTCCCAGCAAGGATGAAGGTGAAAAACAAGAAGTTCCTCATATGGAAAAGGTCTCACTTCCCTAAGGAGGCATCATCAGGCTTTGCCCTGATTGATAGGTTGGACGCCACCTCTGCACCTTCATACACATTCAAGTTGACATAAAATCTACTACAACGATCAAATCTAGGAACAGAAAAGCAGCTATTCCACGTCCTATTTTCAGACCCTCCTTTATATGACCTTGTGCACATGCTCCTATCTTCTCTGAGCTTCAGCGCATAGCCATGACTGCTGTATATCTTTCCGCCTGCTTCATCTGGTCGGTATGAGGTCATGTAGGTGGGGCCGCTTTGTAGTCTGAACAGCACTATAAGAATGGATGTTGTTATCTGTCACTTCTAGCGTTCAGGTCCCGCTTCACTTGACTCCTTGAGCAATCTTTATTCTATTTCCATTTCTGTTCTACATCTTCTCTGTTCTTACTGTCAGATGAGAATGCAGTTTCCTGGCCCTCTGAGTCCCAGACAAGATCTGCCCTGGCAAAAATTGCTAAAGCAACGAATTCTATAATTAGAAGGAGGTAAATTTTTTTAAGGTTCCTCTCCCCCAATCAACATACTGTGCTTGGTTCTCCCTTTTTTTGTTCAAACCTTCTCCTAGCTTTTCAGTATTGCTGATGAGAATGTGTTTTTAAAAGGCCTTTGCACTTTTAGATGGTTTAAGCTTAACTTAAACAGTGATTTCTGAATGTTCCCCCAACCCCATTCCCTTCCCATCCACCTAAGCACTCTTTCTTTAAATAGAATAGCATAAGTGAATCCATGGTGGGTGGTGTGAATGGTGGACACACTTGTCTGTTAACCAAACGGCTGAACAGACTAGTCTACTCATGGGTGCTTCTGAAGGAAAGCCTGGTGGTCTCCTTCCAAAAAGTCAGCCTTTGAAAGCCTTATAGAGCACAGTTCCAAACCAGCACACCTAGGATTGTCATGACTTAGAGTTGAATTCATGGAAACTAATGGTGGAAGTCCAAAATACAAAACGATTGAAGTTGTAGCTGTTCTGTTGAAAGGGAGAGGGTGATGTCTCCAGACCACTTTCCTGCCTTATGCTTAAACCTAAAAACAAACTCCCTGTCATTGACTCCATTCCAACTTATCCTGACTCTATAGAATGGGGTGGAAGGGCTCCTGTTGGTTTCTGAGGCCGGGACTCGGTATAGGAGTAGAAAGTCTCCTCCTTCTCCTGTAGAGTGGCTGGTGGTTTCTAACTACCGACATGCTGTTAGCCGCCTACTATGTAACCTACTGTGTTCCCAGGGCTCCTTTATTGGAATGGAATTTGGAAACTACTGAGCTAAAGGGATAACATCGTTCAGTGGTAGAGTTTCTGACATTGGCCATGTCGTAAACGAACTGGCATAAGTAGTTGGTGTGTGATGTCCTTTTGGTCCCTGAAAATCTCATCCGAGAAGCCCCTCTATTAATTGTGGTTATATTTGAGCCCCTTGTTGCAGCCACTGTATTAATCCATTTCATTGAGGGTCTTCCTCTAGTTCACTGACCCTCTACCAATCATGATATCCTTTTCCAGGGACTAGTCTCTCTCTATAATATTTCCAAAGTATGTGAGATGAAATCCCACCACCCTCCCTTTTAAATAGTATCCTGGCTATAGTTATTAGAGATTATTTTATTCATTTGGCAGACCATAGTGTTTTCCACATTCTTCACCAGCACCATAATTCAAATGCATCAATTCTTCTTTGGTCTTCTTTATCCATTGTTCAACTTTCACATGCACATGAGGAAATTGAAAATATCATAGCTCAGGCCAGGTTGTACAAAACGTGGCACATATATTAAAGAGATATGCAAATAATTGAAGTTTGAGGCTCTGAAATGAAAATACATAGCATAATTATATTTGTGATTTGGTTATTTGGAGATCCAAATTTACTTTCCCATTAGAAGATTTGTAGATTAGAATTGTTCCCTTACATTAATAGTGACTGTGGTAGTCACCTAATCTGGTGTCAATTTAAGGATTAAGAGTGTAGGGGTGGAGTCTAGGCTGTCAATCTGGAGGTAGCCAATGAGACTTCTGTGGGCATGGCCTTCTGAGAATTCTGGGAAATCTGGTACTTCCTCCTTGGAGGCGGAAGACACGTCTCTCTCTCCGCTACTCCCTGGGAGACATTGCAGAAGACAAGCCACATGGACACAACCAGCCCTCAGAAGCGAGAGAAGCCACAGAGAGACCCTGCCAGAACTGAGATGCTTACGCCACTGGACCCAAAGACTCTCTACCCACTGGCTTGTGATCGTCCTGCATTTGACTTCATTGCATGTGTTTAGTGAGTCTGAAGAGGACTTTATGGATTGATATTGGACATGTGGGCTAATATTGGACTTGTGAACTTGATCTGGACTGGGCTGGGATGTTTTCTCAGTGTTCAATTCCTCTTGTGTATAAACTTCTCTCTTAAATACATATGCGTGTTTATGAATTTGTTTCTCTAGTCTACCCAGACTAACACAGTGACAAAAGATTAAGTTTCCCGGGTCAGCTTCAAAAAAGCTCCTTGTACAAGGTATATGCTGGTGATTAAAAGAAATTAGATAAAACAATCCATGATAGTGTGCCAAATAACAATTACTATGAAATTTAAAATAAATTAAAAAACTGAAAGATGACACTAAAGGAAAAGTCCATTTGTATGAAAGGAATTTTTATTTAAAAGGGATTTAAACAAGATGTCATGAAGAAGAATCCCTATAGCATGGAAGTCTTAACCTCTTTCCTCCTCAGAATGCATGGGAGCCAGAGCATGTGCCCATTAGCATGGCTGTTTGATTTGCATAGCCTTCTCGACTGCCGCCCAGTGTTTCTGATAGCCACTATCGGTGGGTTCTCCCACTTTGATAATTGCTATCCTAATGAAATTAGTCTTTCCAAAAATTGATTCCCAGAGGTTCTGCTTCCCGTAACCTCTTTTAAAAAAATAAATAAATTACAAAGCAGCATATCAATATGCTCTTGTGTGCAGAGAGTATCACAACTATTAGACCAGGGATTCATTATAGTAGATTTGGAGTAGATCTTCCTTTTGCTCAGCTGGACAAGGCTTGTCAGTTGTTAGCATAGCCCTGAGAGATGAGAGCGTCTGACAAAAATAAGATAGTCTGCTTCCCTTAAGATTTATAGCCTTGCAAACCCTAGGGAACTGTTCTACTCTGTCCTAAAGAGTTGTCATGAGTCAGAAATGTGCTGGACCTCAAGAGGAATGGGTTTGGTTTTTTTGTTCCAATTTTTTGGTTGACGATAGGTTTTCTATTTTTCTAAACCCAGCCACTAAGTTTGGTCAATATTGTGTTGAAATTATAGATTGCTTTGGATAATTTGACATCTTAAAAATATTACGTTATTCAAATCATGAACATGGAACATCTTTCCACTTATTTTAATCTTCTTCCATCTCAGCAGTGTTTTGTAGTTCTCACTGTATAAGTCCTTCACATCCCTGGTTAGATATATTCCTAAGTATTTAATTCTGGTAGATATTATTGTAAATAGAATTACTTTTCTAATTTCCCATTCATATTTCCCATTGCTAGTGTTTAGAATTACAACTGATTTTTATGTGTTGACCTTGAACCCTGCAAGTTTTCTAAACCTTTTATTGGTTCTGGAAGTTTTCTGGTAAACTTTTTGTAATATCATATATATAAGATCATCTCATCCATGAATAGAGGTGTGTTACTTCTTCTTTTTCAAACTGGCTATCTTTTTCTTTATCTCCCATTTTTCCTTAATTTTATATTAGATGTCTTATACCTCTAATATAATGCTAAATAAAGGTGTTAGGGTGTACACACTTGTCTTGTTCCCAATTTCAAGGCAAAAAAAGGTCCTGGCTTTCTCCATTAAGTATAATGTTGGCTGTGGCTACTACTATATGTCTCCTTGAATAATATTGAGGAATGGCCCCTCTATTCAGTCCTCTTTAAGAGTTTTCATGATTAAAGTTAGATTTTATCAAATGTTTTTCTCTGCGTCCATAGAGAAAATTATGTAGTTATTTTCTTCTGTTCTGTTGATGTAATGTATTATGTTGATTGGATTGGTAATGTTGAACCCTCCTTGCATCCCTGGAATAAATCTCACTTGGTCATGGTATATGGTACTTTTAATTTGCTGTTGGATTGTTTTCTCTTATCTTGTGGAGGATTTTCCATATATCAAGGGGGATTCAAAACGTTCTTAGAAAATCTCCATTATCTTTTAATTCCATTTTTCATGAACTTTTAGAAGATTTTTGTTTATTTGTTTGTTTTCATATGAGATATTGCCCTTTCCGTTTCTTTTCTTATAGTCTCCTTGTGTGATTTGTGTTTAGGTTTATGCTGGTGTCATAGAATGGATAAAGAAATACTCCTTCCTTCTCTATATTTACAAGAGGTTAAACTGTATTTGTTTCAACTATTCTTTAAGTGTTTGGCAGAATTCCCCATTGAAGTCATCTGATCTACAACTGTTTTGGGGAGGAGTTTTTTGTTTTGTGTTTTGAAATCACTGTGTCCATCTC